CTTTTTATTAATGAAAAATTCGTTTGCATAATTTAAAATTTTCCCCTGTTCTAATAAAATATTAAAAAGACTTTTCACAACCTGCTGCTTACTTTATTCTTTCCGCATACTCTTAAATTTTAGAACACTTTTTCGTCTTCATCGAAAGTTCTTTAATCCCGAATGAAATATTTTCCCCTTGAATATTTATTTTCCAGATGACGATGAAATTTTAATTAACCGAAATTCAGTTTGAAGAAAAATGGGTGTTCCTTCCAGCTTAATGTGGGAAAGTAATTCGCTGTGGGAGCTAGAATGAAAACTTTAATTGAAAATTGTTTATTCACCTAAGGTATTATTTCACGTGGGGCAACTAAATCTTCATCTGCGCTTAATTATAACCGTGGCCCGAGATCCATATCAGCTGTGAGTTTAATGCCTTTCTTTTGTTTTTTCATCACCCTCTTTTTCTTCTATATTCGAAAATGCATCGTTTCCGGCTTTGGACCAATCAATAAGAAAATTAAAATTCCCAGTTGACGAATTTCACATTGCTTTTTTTCTTTTCTACACGTTTTTATTTGCAAATTTGATTGTGAAGTTTTTTTAGGATTCGCCATTCTGCGAGGTTTGGGTTCTTAGTTCGTTTAGTTTCCATGGCAAGTTTTTTTTTTCTTCTTTTTTGTGATGAAGAGGTTGTTGCACCAAAAGTTAGATTATTATTTTTCTACTTTTTTAGAGCAGATCTTTTGTGAAACACGTGTTTAGAACAGAGGAAAGTTCCTCTCTTCTTTTAATCGCACTGTGAGAAAGGGTCTTCGTTTTTTTTTTTAATATATTTACAATACATTATGCATATTTTCCTCTCTTGCACAATTGCTTGGCACCCCCCCCCCCCCCCTTGAATTTAAAACGAAAAGCGCCTTGCTTAAATTTTTAAAAATTGTTTTAATTCCAAATCAATGAACCTTGAACTATAATATAAACCAGTGAACAGCAGAGTAATTATTCTTCAATTTATTTGCTTTCCAATTTCATCAGAAGTTAAACAAAGAAATAGTAATTTTACTATTCAAATGCAAAGGTATTATTTCCTTATTTGCTTTCAAATTTCTACATAAAAACTTGAGAAAAATCACTTTCAATGATTTTTGAAGCAATACAAATTAGTGAATATAACAAATTTATTAATATAGCAAAGTTATTATTTCTTTATTTGCTCTCAAGTTTATAGATGTATGAACTTAATAAAAATTACTTTTTGACACCTATCTGTGAACTTTGAAATAATACAAACTAGTGAATTTAATATATAAAAGTTATTATTTCCTCTCTAAATTTCAACTATCGATAGATTACTATACCATATCTGGAAATTGCTTAATTTTGTAATTTAGCCTGTTGGTAAGCCGACCCTGAGTTTACGACTACTAATGTTCAACTCAGTAGACTTGTAATTTTGCACCCCCAATTCAGAAGACAAGGGAACTTCTAGATCAAGTATTGGGAGAAATTCATGGAGGATTTTTCGATGGAACTAACCCGCATTTGCATTACAAGGAGAGGAAAACCACGAAAGCCTCCCGCGGTTAGCTTGATGGCAAGGGGACTCTAACCCATGATTCGTTATGATTATTTTACATTACTATTTTACAGCAGCACTGAAGGTACTATTTATAGATGGCACAAAATATATAGTCCAGTCTCCTTAACTTTTATAAATTAGTTACAACTATTATAAAGTGTTCAATTGAATTTTGTTTCTATTCATGGTGAGTTTTAATATCGTGTCATCAAGTTTCAGAATAATATGGTTCAACTCAACTTGAAAAAATACTTGCGTTTTAAAATATTTGAAGGATATCGCGATTTAACACACTCTAAAATTTTTATCGGTATACTGCCGCCGATTGTCCCCCCCCCTAAACTATGGTGTATAAAAACTAGAATTCGTGTGATAATTAACCATTTAACATTTTAATTCGTGATGCAGTGCCAAGAAAAGAAAATCGTTACATTTTATTTTGTTTTTTCGCTTATTTTTCGGCACTGTCGGCATAGTCCACACTGTAAAAATGTCTTAGTAAAATTACGGTAGTAAAGAATACCGACTCTCAGGGTATCAGTGCCTTTTACCGTAAAATCCATTTTTACCGCAACATGTTACGGAACAGAAAAAAATTGACACACCGTAATTTTTACCGTAATGAATACCGTAAAATCACTGAGTCACTTTCATTAAATCAATATCAGTGTAAAAATGACGGTGAGGCATGAATGGATTTTTCAGATAATGCATCCTAAGTACCGGGACTTTATAAAGTATATTGATGCGGAATTTTTTTACAGTGTAGCCACATCGCTTTTAGAAATATGAACGGCGTACTCATCGATTAAAAATCTAGGATCGCTAAAAACTAGATAAAATAATGTAAAATAAAATCTCCCGACCATTGTTCTCTTTTCCTTCCTAATAATCGTCCCATAGAAGAACCATTGACTCTTCGCTGTGGAGTTTCTTAAAAAACTTCAGGACACAGACACAACCTTATTTATAGCAAACTGTGGGGATGAAAAGAGAGAAAAAAAAAAAAAAAAAACAGGAAAACAGTGTGCGTGCCCCTGTATTTGGCCTCTTGCCAGTAAACTAGAGACATGCATAAATCAAAGAAGTCATTTCTGACTTCTCTCTTCTTATACTCAGGTTCAACGAGAACATAATCCGATTCTCTCCCTTCGCAAAATTTGTGTGTTTGTTTTGTTAGTCAACACCGAGACGATATTCGAACATTTTGTCTTCTACTTGTTTACATTTATATTTGAGAATGTTTGGAACATCCTAACGAATCGTTTGCTAAAAAATCTCTTAACGATTCAATTCCATAATCGGTAACGCTGAAAAGCTCTTCATAAAACTGGCTAAAAATACTATCAGATCATATTTTAATCGTAATCAAAAAATCGTTTTTTAAATTGTTCTAATATTTTTTTTAATTGTTATTTAAAACTTGTAAAATGGGTAATTAAGTTGAATGATAATCTGGTGTTCTATCTTTTGTATCTTAATAAATAATGTAGTATTATCTTTTTCTAGGGGAAAAAAAAAAAAAAAAAAAAAAAAAACACGGAATCCAAACGTATAATACAGGCCTAACGCTTCCCCGTTCTCACTGTACTAATGGTATAGTATTTTCCACTCGTTTAAAACATCTTGTTTAGGACAGATTAAATACTCAATTAAAAGTCATTTTTCTTTCCTTTTATTTTTTCCATTAAGTACTTTTTTCCTGACACTCTTTTGTTTAATTGTTTTCTGTTTTATCTCGTTCTTTCTTCTTTTTTTTTTTGTAAAAAAGGAAGGATATTTTTTATTGATAATTTTTTCCCCCAATCTGTGTATATCTAACTGAAACATATTACAATAAAAAAAAAAAAAATTTAGAACTAATTTTTTTTAAATGTAAGGAAAATGCCTAAACGACATCTTTTTATTTAAGTAGTTGATGTATTTATGTAGTAGCATGATGGAGTATCCTAAAAATGAAGTGAAGAAAAAGCGTTTTTTCATGACGCGTGTCATGAATTTTAGAATTTTTTCACGCTCTAACAAAAAGTTATGATTATACAATAGAGTACCTCTATGTCTATGCAATATGTTATTATGACATTACCGCTATGTGCAGTAATGACGCTGTGTTTTGGAAACACCTCCATTTATGAACACTTGAAACCCTTTTTCATCAGTCGTTGTTTCGTTTGCTGTAACTTTTCTTTTGGATTATTTGCATTATAAAAGAGGTTATATTATGAATGTTACAGCCAAAGAATAAAACGCCGGCATTCTGTAGAATGTCCTGGGCATTGTAATGTCAGTCGCTTTTATGCAAACTATGAGCATTATTTATAATACCTAGACATTCTATAGAATGACACGTGCTATTTCGACAAAGTATGAAAAATGGTTCTGATAAGACTTATATAAATAACGTGTATTCCTCAAAAATAGAAATGGTATTCTAAAAAATAATGAGAGTATAGAGTGCTATTAAAAAGTCGTCCAAAACAAAATTTACGTCTTTCTTATGGATGGGGAACAAAATTTCCTTATAAAAAAATAAGAAATTAAAAGCATGATAAGCTTAAATGACATTTTGAATTCATTTTCATTACGTTCGAAGCGAATAAGAGATGTATATCATACTTGACCGGTTTCTTTGGCATTCTATAAAGAGATTAGGAAATGTGTGAAATATGAATCTTTCATACATTGCAACTGGTTTTTTAGACATGATATACAGTTCCTAGGCATTCTATAGAATGCCGGATCCAACACTTTATCGGTAACATTGGTTATTGGGGGAAAAAATATCATAAATTTTTTATTTTAACTCCATAATGGCCAGCCACAAAAAGTGGTACATATTTGCTCATAGCAGTATATTTCTGTCTTTTACCACCTTTGCTTTCCCTGTGCTTTCACTTCAGATCTAAATAGAAATTATTGTGTTAAACAGAACCATTTCTCTACAAAATAAATCCTTAAGATGAAACTCTGTTGCTACCCATTTGTCTACGTTTAAAAAAGAAATTGTTGTTTTTTAATAAAACGGCACACAAAGTGGTGAAGAGAATAATTCTGCAATATGTTTGTATTTTGAAATTTTGAAGTATTTTAAACTTTATTGTTTATTTTTGGTTTACCTGACTCCCTGTTTTTATACTAATATAAATGAAACAGAATTTCTCATGAAGCTTTTCTCACACAGTATAGCTTCCTCGAAAGGACGGTCTATATTTATAATTTTTTTTTTATAACAACACGTTCTTGAAACTTTCACTTTTAGACTGTGAAATAAAAAGTATTCTGGTAGTTTTCATGATATGTTTTCTGAAATGGACTCATGTTTACATATTATAAAAAGAAAAAGAGGCGAGTTTAAAGGTAAAAGTACTGCAATGAATGTACTTAGAAATTAATTAATACTTTCTGATTGATGATGTGTGATATTTATTCTTTGTAGGGAAAAGCTTCGATCACATACCACCCCATTCAGCAGGTCCTATTCCATACCTGGTATCCTCCTATCATCCACATAATGGATCTCTGGGACCCATGCCCATGGTGAGTACCCTCTTTCATTTAATAAGAAATTATAGAGATAGAAAATAAAGGTATAATAGCCATTATTTTAGAAAAGATTGAATTGACATGGTTTACGAAAAAGGGAATAAAATGACGCGTTTAATTGAAGCTTAAAACATACTTTTCACGATTTTAGATTTTCATGGGAGAGAAAAAAAAAAACGTTTTATTTAAGAAATATAATTTTACTGTGCTAACATAGGTTCGTGCCCTCGTCAGCAGAAATAAGCATCCCCTCTCCTCGCATTCTAACGAGAGAGTTTGGTTTTTAGCTTTAACTTTGACTTTTTTTGTAGCCTAATTTTAGGATTAAATTCAAATGAAAGCGGTAACTTTAAACAAAACAAAATTTTAATTTTCATCCATTTTATAAAATTTTGTGTAGTTTGGGTAGTTTTTCTTTAGAAACCTTTTGTATTTCTCTTCTATGGTCAATTTTTTTTCTTCCTATTCTTCCTTTCTTTGTACTAATTTCAAATTTTAAAATTTTCCAAACGTAATTTTTTGTTACCTTTTTTTTACATTAAAAAAATATGTAAAAGGGGTTTTAATGTCGCACCTAAACATTCCTGTTTTCCCTCTTTCCCCCCTTGTCAGCTAAAATAAAAAATCACAAAGCTTACATACACAGAGTACATACTTAATATTATGTCTTGAGCACAGGTGCTTACGTAATATTTAAATTGGCTCACATAATGAATGAATATTTCTAAATCGAATAAGGTACTCTTTTTTTCTAATATTAAATTAGGATATAGTTTTGAAAATTTTTGTAATGTCCTCAACTCCTGGATTTTCATTATTAGACATTCATAATCTAATACTATAATTTCTCGTTGTTTAAAAATTAATCAAAATTAATAATCTTTATCCAAGAACAACGTGAGATAAACTGTCCCCCTCTTTATAAAATAATAAGGAGCTGATTTGTACATTTCTCCTTTAAATTTAAATTTTCTATTCCCTTTTTGAAAATATGCTTAAATTTTAATTGAACAAATAATTAAGATTTAAAATTTTTAAAACTCATGATTATAGTAATGCTTTTTCCAAAATTTGTTTCGAGAATTTTATTAATCCATTTTCATAGGACGATGAAAATGTATCATTTCCACTATACTCATTTTTTATCACAGGAAATTTTATATTTCATTATCGTAAATAGAACTGACCTAAGCTTCGGCGTTGTTTGTTTTACCAAGTATTGCGTATTGTTTGATATTTTACAGATAGCAGATTTTCAATCATTTTCGGCAAACCTTTGTTTTTAGAGTAAATTTGATATTGCCTTTCTTTTTCTTCTTCATTTTCTTCTTTCTGAATTATGATATCTATAATTTAGAAATCGTTGTAACTTTTGAAACTTCTTTTTTCTTTTCCAGAAATTAATCCATGCGATGATATTGTCATCAATAAATAATATACATAATTTTGTTTCTATTCTTTTATTTAAAAAGTTTCGTCCTTTCATGCAGATTTAAATTATGCATCATTTCAAGGACAACTAATTTTTGGAAGAGTGTTTTTTTAAAAATACTTTAAGGTTACAATAAGTACTTTCGTTCATAGCAATAAACTTCAAGTAATAATTGATTTTGTAAATTAAAGAAAGTTCAATGATAAATAACTGTTTATCTTAGATCATAATAACTACAAGAAAGGGCAAATTCAAAAAATTATTTTTTGGAAGTGAGCCGTGTTTGCAAACCTTTAATGCAGGCACCGGTGTTTCATTCTGTATTTCATAACCATACATTATTAAAAAATGCTAATTATAATACTTTGCACTAATTTTGACTTTTTTTTTAACTAATACAAAATAATGGAGAAAAAATTACGAAAAATATATTTAATAAGAATTCTGAGTCAAAGAGTTAATCATTCATACTTTTTTGGATAGCCAACTAGACTCACTTTTAGCAGACTATGTAAATTTTCCCCAAATATTAGCATTGGATCGTTCTTGAATTTTGTTAATATGTATGTTTCCATTATTTATATATTTAAGCTGCCGGACTTCTCCTATTTTAGATAAACATCTTAGAGCTATTTGTTTATTTCTTTTTGACAAAGAGGAGAGGTATTATAAGAAAAATGTACGACGCTGAATTTCCTTTATAAGAATTTTTTTTTCTGTAAATTGCAAACATAATTTTACCTGTGAGAAAAATATATTTAAAAAAAATCATGCGTAAGTACAAAGGTGACTTACTTTTGCTTTTTTCTGAAAAGGAAGAAAGGTGATCTCAAAATATGCTTACATTTAATAATTTTTATGTTGAAATATTTATTTCACGTAATATAAATGATGTGGATTTTGCCTTAGAAATACGTAGATAATTATTCTTTTTCATCGATTAAGATAAATGTCGATGCACAAAACGCTAATTTCTTGGAAAAATTCTTTAGATAATATTTTGATTCGAGTCATTGAAAGAGCAAGTTTATTACAGGGAGTTATGAATAGGGGAAAAAAGTAAAAAAGTAAAATGGATATTAGTGAGTTGTAATATTCTAACGTATGAAGAAAAACAAAATCGCAAAACTACTAAACTGATAACGGTGCGTTTTGAAAAACCCAACTAGAGCCTTAAAAATAAACACACATTTCTTTTTTATCTTAGCTTTTTATCCCTCTTAATTGACAACTTTTGTAAATGAACCTCATTGTTCAGTCTTGTCTATTAGTTTTATAAAAGAAACACTATCCACCTAATTCAATCATTCATTACATCATAACGTAAAGTACTTCAAAATCGATAGACACAAGTAACGGCTTGTTTATAAAAGAACTCCTATACATCACCACCCTAAACGCCAGTAGCCATAAAAACGACGGAAACTCAATCTAAACATTGAGACCAGTCTCTAAACAATTTCTAATTCTTGCAGTCGAGTTATTACGCTTTCGACACGTGGACGGATAGAAAAATATTTGATGAGGGTTAAAAGCTCGATACACAAAATTCAGTGTTCTTGGAATTTTGGGAGGCGACGTTGTGATAAAGTGACTTGTTTGTACTTTGTATCGAGCCGAAACCTTTAGAGATAACACACATCGTATGCTTTCTCCTCTTTCTAACTGTTTTCTTCTATAGTCGTAAGTGGGAAGATGATAAAAAGTAGTAAAAGGTCACCCCCCATCTAACTTATCACGATCTTTTTTTCATTATTGTTTCATTATTATTTTTTTTTAACTTAATAGTTCAGCTTTTCTTGTATGTGAATTGACGCTTTTGTTAGATCTATTTTCTTTGCCTGATTAAAAAAAAGGGGAAAAAAAGCTACTTTGTATCTATTATATTTGAACACTTTTTTATTTTACATTCAATTAAGTTATGAATTAAGCTAGTCTTCCCTAAACAAAATGAATGTTCTAAAAAAATAAAGATCTATTTTAAACAATTTACGTGCTAGGCACAGACTAACTATTGAGCTTCTTCCTTTCCTGCCAATTTTCTTTTTTCTATTTATATTATTAATGCAAATTTATAACTTTTTTTAAAAAATGAAAATATTGTTTCTATTTTTTATTGTAAAATTCAATTTGCGTTTTATTAAGATGTTTCGAACATTATTATTATTTTTCGAATAATAACTATAGAAATCTTCAGCGTTTATAATTTGTAAAATTATAGAAAAGCTCATGCCCCAATGGCTTTGTGTGCCTAGATGTAAGTTAGGGCGTGTGTGAAAAACTTACAGATTTGAATAATGACAAATTTAAGAGAACATTTAGCGTTCTAACGATAATTTTAAAATTGAATAAGTTGAATTTTTTTGTTTAAAAAAAAAGAAATATATGGTTTTTGACTTATTTTATTTATTGATTATTAATTATACGAAAACTAAATGTTAGAATATAAATTTTTGCTCTTAACTTGAACTCTTAAGTGAACTTGATTTTCGTGAATTAGATTGAAACTCCAAATGGTTCAAGGATGATCTTATATTTTTCCATACTTTTTCATCCTTTTTTACTTCTAATTAGTTTGAAATTGTCCTGTTTAGCTCTAGCGAACAATTTTTGATTTACATTTTGATTTTTGAGGCACATAGTATTATAGCCTCATCTGACATTCTCATGACCGAATCCCAAGATTGACACCAAAATATTTCCGCCTTTTAAACCAATGTCCGTTGCCTAACAAAAACCTTAGTTCTAGTTGAATTTCTTTATAACCATTCCAGTACCTTTATATCCAGTATCAAGACCGTCATAACGGTTTTGAAACTGTGCTAGTTGTAAATGGTTGAAAAAACAGTATGGTTTTTAAACCATACTAGTTGCAAACGGTTTCAATACCGTAGAGATAAAAAAGTTTCATTACCGTAAACTTTACGGTTAATCGGAGGGACATACTGTTACCAGTTATTTTACCATAATTTTCGAATGGAAGTGTGTAGCAGTAACTTAAAACACCAATAGTGCATGTAATGCTATCTAAACTTGCTATCTAACTTGCTATCTAAACGTTTGTTACATATTTATAGATTTCGCCATGTGTTAATTTGCGAGAATAAATTTTATTTTCTCTCACTCAAAGAAGTTTTAAAGCTAGTTTATTCTTATTTACAAAAATATTACTTAAAATCTTTATCTATTCTTTTTTCTTCCGTTATGATTATCTGTTGTTCTCTGCGGAAGATAAAGAACTTTTAAGTGGCATGACAAGAATGTAAAATAAATTTGCCATAATCATAACAATTTGGTTATGTTAATTTTTCATTTCCACCTTTTGACATAATCGCCTCTGGTGAACAGTTTGTCCATATCATTAGATTTTTAAAACACTAATCATTTGGGTTTTATTAAGAGGAAAACCTTCCACGGTTTGCTCTATGGCGAATCGTGGTGATCCATATGCATCTGTGGTCATTTTGGATCGGCATTGTGACTAATGCTGACCAGAAGCTATGTATTAATTGATCTGTTATCTTCAGGTAATGATTGGAATCTATCAGTCTACAATCTGAAC